TATGAGTAATTTGACTTTATACAGATCTACAGATGAATTTCGAACTCTTAGTGAAGTCATGGGAAGTACTGTTGCTTGACCAAAGAGCAATATTAGATTTCTTTGAGTAAAATATGTTAAACAATTTCTGTCTCATACAGGGGCTGTTTGTATAATGTGATTTCAATAGATACTTTGTTGAATAGAATTCCCATACTAGATTCATTCAAAAAATGTGTGGATGAAAAATGTGGTTGAAAAGTTGAGAAAAGTGTGGATCTCGTGAAATGTATGGCTGAAAATAAGTTTCAAAAAATGGTGGCAAAATAGGGGCTTATGGACCTTAGATATGCTTTAGCTTCATCTTGGACTTTGGATTTCTGCAAAGTATGTGAAATTACATTAATTAGGAAACATGCATCTGATACTCATGTAAGGCCATTTAGTAATATACTTCCATTACATTCAGATATTACTACTTTTATTATTAACACTTTTTATTTAGACCTTCTTCATTTGCTTATAGATGAATATTTCATTCTCAATTAGAAAGACTTATGTCCTTTTCTATCCATAGTGTCCAATAGGCCCTGAATGAAGCTACCTCTCTTAGAGTGGTGTGTTCCCTTACTTTGTATTCTACGTCCTCTGATGTGCATGAAGAGTTTGAACTTGGTTTGCTGCCTGAGTTGTCTCCTGTCCAGCAAAATAGAACGGCTTGTATTCTTCTATGACCTCATCTGTATTCATTCTAAAACTCTTGTTTCCACGCTGTTTCTTCTAAATTGGATTCCAATAATATGCCAAGCAATTCATCATTGTGTGCTCCCCCCGCCTCCATTTTAGCTAATAGTATTATTGATAAATTATAGGTTTTCTCCATATTCATCGACAAGTGCTTGTTGCTACTATTCACCAAGAGATTTTAAGAGTTAACACCATTGAAGGAATTAACTTTAGATGAATGTTATATTTAAAGTTTTTCTGACATAAGATTTATGGGGATCAGTTGCTGGTTTCTGACTTAAATGAACAGATTTGAACAATTGATTTTTAACAATTTTAGTTATCACTCCTTGAAGATTACAGAAGGAGAGTATTTATTTTTTACTACTACTTTGAAGAAGTTTGTGTAATATGTGTGAGACTATTTAGCTATTTGTTTGGCTATGAAATGATTCTGTATTGAATGTGTGACATAGTAGTAAACATGAGTATTATTGATAAATTTTGATATATTATTGATGAATTATTGATAAATTTTGCTTAAACAAGAGTACATCTTATTTGCAATGGTAGCGAACTTTTGTCAGAGATTCAAGTGGTTCCCAGTAGAATTATGTGGTATTACTGTAATGATGCTTCGACGGGAGATGTAGTGGATGGTACAAGACTATGCGAGGTACCTAGTTCCCATGGGGCTCAAACATGGGC